GTTTTTAACATTTATAATTAATTTATTGATCTAACCACTCAATTAATACTTAGGGTTATTATTAATGCAGTCACTTTAAAATAATTTATCTCATATCTATTTAAGATATAAGATAAATAATTTACGACTATCCCCCAAATATAGGCAAATATGTATGAGATTAAACGAAATCACAATTATTAAAAAGATAAAATGTTAGGAATTTATATTGTAACCTCATTTATTTCTTAAAAAGGAGAAAAAATAAAAGTCAATTGCATATACTTAGTTTTTAAATGACTTTCAATACTTTTGTAAATTATTTAATAAAACATCATGGTATCAAATTTATTTACAAAATCATCATTCCTTCAACAAATTCGTGTTTTTAAAACACTACTTTCAATATAAAAGCATACTTTGAAAATACACTTTTAGTATAAAAACTTGAAATCGTATTTTCGTAACATAATTCTACAATGAAAGTCATGCTTAAAAAAAAAAAAACTGTTTCATAGAAAAATCAGTAGTCTAATAAATGAATTAAAAACTAAAATATTTTTCTAAAAAAATTGTGAAAAGATGATGGAATGAGAATTAATTTTATTATTTTTTTACGGTAACAAAATAATAAAAAAGAACATAATAAAATGAAAATTTGTAAAAACTACACCTGGGATACAGCTACACCCCTCCCCTACGAGGAATAAGTGTCCCCACTAATGATTGATTGCTTCCATCCTTGAAACTTCTCTCGTGAAGACAGTAAAGATGGAAGGATACACCACGAACACAAATAGTACAAAAATTCAATGTATAAGACGTCTGACGAAGAAAGAAGAGCACGCAAAGAGTGATGGGTCATGCTGAAAAACAATATTGAAATCCAGAGGAGAAAGCAAACGTGTATGTTGAGAGAGAGAGAGAGAGAAATGAAAAGGGAAGAAAAAAGTGGGGAAGGGCCAGCAGAAAAGCAAGAATATTTGGGGGAAAAGTTGAAGAGAGTGGGGAAAAGAGGGGGACAAACCACTCCAACACTACCCCCGTGGAGACTACAACTACTAGCGGCTCATGGTGTGCAAGATAACATCATTGATGTCTCTCCTTTACAATTGCCCACTGTTTCTGCTAGAAAACTTGCTGCAACCCTTTGGGAACTTCATCACTACAAGCTACCACTTTCTAAAATGCACCAGGGTGTCACCGGTCCGCCTCCCAGAATCCGCCGCCTTCACCACCACCACCACCATCTCTACAAGGACAAGGGTCTTGAACTCCCCGATCCTTCGCCTAATTCCCCTGACCTGGTACAAATTTGAACCTCTTTCATACATATATGTATACGTGCATAAATATTGATTCTTTGTATTATGTGATGATTGATTGGCTCGTTTGTTATTTGTTGTTGTCCAATTATGGCTTTGAGTGGCTTTGTTCTTGATTTGCCTCATGTTTTCATCTGGGTAGGTGTATTATTTGCTTGTGTGTGGGTTTGGGTGTGATAATTGGATCCACACATATTTCATGGTTTTTTTTTCCCATTGGTGGGTTGTTTTGGTTTTGGGGGCTGCTGGTTTGATTAGGCTCGTTTTAAGTTTTCAGGTGGTTTGATTCGTTTGTATGCTTTTTTCACGAAGACAGGCACATACTCCATGTTTGTGTTTGATTGGGGTTTATCCCGTTCACCCCATGGTTGTAGCTCTTGTTGATCTAACGGCACGATTTGGTAGCTCGTATGCATTTTGTTGTTGAAATTATTGGATTCGACCTCCCTCATGTTGAAATCATTGAATTTGATTCAACCATAGCTATGGGTTTGTTGTCTCTCATTGCTTTTTTTCTTCTCTGTTCTCATAATTGGTTCTTATAGGTTTCTTGGAGTTCAGTTAGCATGGGGCATTAATCATTGGATGCTAATTGTCTTCTAGCTTCTGAATTTGGATTGGTGTTCTAATTTCTTAGGATGGTTTTGGAGTCAATTTTTATTCTATGAAAGCACCATCTTAATCTCAGTTTGCCTTTGAATGTTGGTTCCACTTATCTCTAACGATGATATCGGGGTTTGCCCAACTATGATGGAACGAGAGTCTATCCAGCCTTGTCTATGGGTGCGCTTCATCTCACATATATGCCCGTTTCATAATTGAATGTTAGTCTTTCATTGGGTGTCCAATGAGACCAGAGTTGAACCTAACTGTTGAGCCCAAGGGTTGTGTATGTACCCCACCAGGTAAAACAAAGGAGCATAGTTAAGCATACAAAGAGAAGGGATATAAGCCTTTGAGCAGGTAGAAGGTCAATCCGGTTGGCATGCCAAATATAGCATTCGACCTCCCTCAAAAAATTATTGAACTTTTGTACAAGTCACATAAGGGAAATAGTGTGAAGGGTTTAGTTGTCATGTTCAAGCCCGTGCTCTGTGGATGATGCTTGAGAAATTCCTTCTGTGAATGTTATGGTGGATTTGTAATATTAATTTTTCAGTTGTCCTTAATAACATATAGGGCATGGAAAGCTAACAAAGTGCAAAGTTATAGTTAATTAATAATCTCTTTCTGATTTCTGATGGCAGCCTGGAAGTGCAAGCAGTTTGAGGAGGCATGTTGCTGCATCATTGATGCAACATCATCAATTGATTGAAAGAAACAGTCATGCTATACAACCAGTATCTCCTGCAAGCTATGGGAGTTCCATGGAGGTATACATAGTACATCAAGGTCTTCTGTTTGCTTTTGTCCTGGTGCACACTTTTATTTGATGTCATGGATAATATGAATTAACATAAGAGACCCTAATTTCCTTTTTAATTCTCACTTGTTTGCTTCTTAGCTGGTTTTGAGTGGATACTAGTTAATTCAGTTGGGCCGCCTCCGGCCACTGCATTGATTTTTCTTATCCAAGCTAACAATAAACAGAAATATGTAATAGCTTGCGGAAGAGCATATTCTTGACGAGCTAGTGTTATTTGATGTTCCTATTTGCATTTGTGGCTTTGTTCCCTAACTGGTATGTTAAGGACACTAACCATTCAAATTTCCCACTATGCCCTGGCAGAATGTTACAGCTGATGCATATTTTAAAGTCACATAAGTGTTGCTCTTGTGCTGTAAGTCTTTTTGACAAACACTTCCTGCTATTAAAACTCCCAGGTAGCTTCATTTGCTTCCCTCTTGCAGGTAGCACGTTATCACCCTGCTGTTACACCTACCAGTTCTATAGACTTCAAGGAAAAGATTGGTGAGACGAGTTATAGCCTCAAAACATCTTCAGAACTGCTAAAAGTATTGAATCGAATCTGGAGCCTGGAAGAGCAGCATGCATCCAATATTTCACTGGTGAAAGCATTGAAAAAGGAGCTAGACCATGCACGTGCCAGGATCAAAGAGTTGGTTCAAGATCAGCGAGCTGATCGATGTGAGATAGATGAATTGATGAAGCAGATTGCAGAAGACAAAGTAGTTAGGAAGAGCAAAGAACAAGATCGGATTAGTGCTGCAATTCAATCTGTAAAGGATGAACTGGAAGATGAAAGGAAGTTAAGAAAACGCTCAGAAATCCTGCACAGGAAGTTAGCTCGGGAGCTTTATGATGTAAAAATTTCTCTTGCTAATTCCTTGAAGGAGCAGGAAAAAGAGAGAAAATCACGAAAGCTGTTGGAAGACCTTTGTGATGAGTTTGCTTGGGGAATAAGAGACTATGAACGAGAAGTGCATGCTTTAAAACAGAAATCTGACAAGGATTGGGCTGCCAAAGCAGATCATGATAGGTTAATTCTCCATATATCTGAATCATGGCTAGATGAACGAATGCAGATGAAAATGGAACCTCTGTTAGGAGATAAGAATTCAGTAGTGGACAAGGTGAGTTCTGAAATAGAGAACTTTCTTCAAGCAAAACGGAATAATAATGGCAAGAGTAAGGATAATTTGGTGCCACGGGAGCCCAATTTCCGCCGGAGTTCTCTGGAATCCATCCCTTTGAATGTGGCTGTTAGTGCTTCCCATGAAGAGGGTGATGAAGATGATTCTGCAGGCAGTGATTCACATTGTTTTGAGCTAAACAAACCCGGTGCTGGTGACTTGAAACAGGTAGGAGACAAAGCTGGAAGTCATATTGATGAAATCGTGAAGCCAAATCATACAAGGAAAAACTTCACATCTCATGAAAGGATTAAAGATCGTAATCCATCCAGCTTGCAGTTGAAGTTTGAAGAACATATATCTTGGGCCATAGCACATAATGAGAGTAAGAACCAAGTTGAGGAAACGGAAGGACAAAGTGGGGAGGGGAACCCTATTGAAATAAGTGTTTCCAGAAAGTCTGAAATTTGTGAAGCCACAGAAGAAGGTAATTCGGAAAGCAAGAATAAAGTTGTTGGAACTCCTGGATCGAACTCAAATTACATAATTGATGAGTTAATTAGAAACCAGTATTTAATGTCAGAAAGTGGGAATTTGCCACCTGATAGGCAAAATGGTTATGGGATAGCTTCTTCTGGTAATTCTGCATGGAGTCATCCGAGTCCAGTACGACAGTGGACAACAAGGCTACCATCCCAAGATGTAGGCGTATCTGAGTCGTCCTCAAAATTGCCTGCAGATTCAAAGGAGAATACTTTGAAGGCAAAGCTACTTGAAGCAAGGACACGAGGTCAGCACTCACGCTCACGCTTAAAAGCCTCGAAGATTTCCTAGGTCATGACATGTTTATCTGAAAGCTTCATAAGTTCCTATCAGGCTTGTGGGATTGGTTGAGGTCGGACTTCTGGTTTGAGAATTTGTGCTTTGTGAATATCAGCTGATGCAATAATACAGAAATTTGGGTTAATTCCCATTATGTTACTACTGTTGCTGCTTGCGTTATTTTTAATCGGAGAGGTGACCACAACATCAGTTTGTTCAGCTTCTCTAGAATTCTTTGATGGCATCAACAAGGAATCCGTTTCATCTCCTTGCGTTTTCCCCATAGCACCAGGTATAACCCTCATACTATAATCATGGTGCTTATAAATTCGTACAAGTAAAACTAGTTAACATTGAGATAAGCTATTTGGATCAACTTAGACAAATGATCGAAGTGCAAATAAGGGTTCATGTTGTAATCCCCGTAAGTTAGAGAACAAACGATCACAATAGATTTTCAGGCTTACCAAGTTCAAAAACTAGATAAAATAGAAATAGAATAGAGCTTAAGGTGCATATAACTTAGCTCAAGACACTAGAAAAATGCTAAGCCTTTCCAATGCGATTTGCCAAGCTATCCTTCAGGACATTGGGTAGATGTAAGACGCTACTGCATCCTTCGGGTTTCCTTCGATAATTGAGAGAGTTCGTTCATCTAAATCAATCACAGTTGTGCAAAGAGTGTACAGTATTGGACCTGACAGTAGAGTGAAGAACATAAATAACAGAGTATAGCAGAGGGAGAATGTTCAAGTTCCTTTGAGTTACCTGTCATATAGATGGGGTATTTTTCATCATTCATGTCTCCCAAGAGTGATAGAAAATCATTTTCTGATCCTTTCGGCAGTAGAGCTGCTCTTTTTTGCCTACTCAGTGAGTTCTCATCATCTGCCTTCATCACACAAAACCCAAAAATGATACTATATTCAATACTCATGGACTACCGCAAGGCTATATTCATGAACAAGTATGTGGTTCTTGAAGCGAAAAAGGTGGCATGTTATTATTTTTATAGTTGTGGAAGGAGTATGGCGGCTTCTCAGCATGGAACACTCATACTCAATAGTGGCGAGATGTCAATGTTATTTATTTTCACTTTCTATCTAGATGAGCAATGTTACCTACCTGCCTGCTGAATTTGAAGATGAAGGTATGCATTGGCATGGAAGAATGGTGTTGCCCCAACCTCATGAACTGAAACCCGATTCTTTGATGCAGTTTCAACATTCAAAATCCTTCGTGTTTTTACGTCGATCAGATTATAACTATGTCCGACAGAAGCTTCTGATGAATGAATTCTCTGAAGACAAACAAAGCATCTACAATATCAAACCCATTTCATTCTTCGAAATAAGTTTAAAGGAGAGGTGAGGATTAAAAGAAAGCGCTTACGGTTAAAGCATCATCAATGCTTGTTGCTTCAAGCAAGCCCCTGGAGATAAAGTTCCGACCAATGGCACCAGCCACCACCTCATCTTTGGAAGGCGGTACTGAATTCAGCGTAAATGCCTAAAGAATAGCATTTCAATTTTCAAGTAATGAGCAAAATTATTTTATTCATGTCAAAATTACCTCATCTTTCAACACCAGTTAAATAGATTCATTGCTGTCAAAATTATTTTATTCATTATTCATGTTGTGCATTTTCGGATTATTATCAAGTAATGAGCAATTTTAACCACTAATTTTAAACATAAACAAATTGTAAATTCAGATGTCTTAAGTTCAAATCTTGATAATTTATTAGGATCAGACCATAAAGGATTTATCCCTCATAAATTTTTTAGTCCCGTGATAACCTATCTTTCACCAAACCAGAGAGAGGAAGAGAATTAGCCAAGGTACGCGTAAGTTAGCTCGAGCCATTAAACCCAAAAAAAAAAATTCCACCCCTGTTCCTCTGCCTCGATTGACCTAGGAAAGATGTTGAGAATATACCAGTCCATGAGTATTAAACCCAAACGCACAGCTTGGAAGCTCTCCTGCATAGGTGTATGCAGTGAAGGATAGTCCATTAGACAAAGTTCCCCTAATCAGATACCTGCAATTTCAAATGAAAAACGGTCAGTTGTGCTAATTTAATTAAGGTCCCTTATCAAAGAGCTGCTAAATCAAATGCAGATTAAATTCATCAGAAATGAGCTCAAGTTGGGTACATATAGTTCAAGAACAAGCTTACGTGTGGCCAACAAGAGCAACATTGGCGTCCTCGTTATGAGCTACAAAAGCCATTGAATCACTAACAACAAGAATATCCGAGCAATCTTCATCAGTTTCGTCCTTCGAATTTGTTTCTGTCTTGGGAATAAATGGAAGTATTTCCTTCCTGAAGTTGAGCAGTATAATCTGGAATATGACAAGTAGAAAACTGAGACTGATTCCATCAAAATAAAAAGAAAGTCCAATTCTCGTCACGCGTAGTTATAGCCGTGTAAAGAGAGACCATTTGGATTTGGGTAACTAATGGTATTATAGAATTGAGGGTTTGAAGATTATACATCAAGAAGAGGCACGCCACTCCCTTCAGCAGTCCCCAAGAGTTCATCCCAGTACCTCGGAAACTTTTTCCGGTTGGTGTCGGAGAGAGCTCCGATTAGTGGCCGAGACTGGGGGTTTCGAGCAAATGGGAGGAGCTGGTGTTGGAGAATAAGGTCTGTGGCCAACCTGCTTCTTATCTGTGTGCAGAACCTTTGCCCTATCAAGAAACCCATTTGATAAGCGTTTTCACAGGGCCCAACTTCAAACATCTCCAACCTTTCCCCTTCCATGCTTGAGTTCTCCATATCAGCCTGTGTGTGTGTGGTTGTATTGTACGAGGATAAATTCATTTATATTTATCCATGTCCAGCAAAAAAAATTGAGCAAGTGGATTTAAAAAATATATTTAAAAATTAGACTTAATAATTTCAATTATTAATTTTATTATGAATCCTAGTATTTATTAGGACCCACTACTTATTCAATGATTGAAATTATTAAGTTTAATTTTTAAGTTTATTTTTTAAGTTCACGTACCATTACTCAAAAAATTTTATGTCCCAATAGAAGAGCAAAAAGGGATGCTAGTGCCAACACGCTAGGAGTTCATGGATTTTGAGGAGTTTGAATTGATTATTTTAAATTTTTTTTAAATTAACCTTATTTTTGTAAAGATGAAATTTAATATTTAATTCAGTTTATACCTATATTTGGTATGTAATACATATACAAAATAACTATTTTATCCTTAATCATTTTAATTCATACCCATGTTAAAAGGTATAATTATTTTTTGAATCATTAAATCCCTTACTCATCTTCTTAAACACACCCTCTCTAAGTTTGACAAAACCCATGATTATAAATTTAATCTTTGGATCAACTACGAGTTGAGTTTGAAAACTTGAAATTAAATTTTTCAAACAAACATAAAATTTAGAGAAACTTTGAATTATTTTCCCCAAGGCCTAAATCCATTTTATCAAACCCTCCTACCTTTTTACCAATCAACCCCTTAAAGTTAAAAGGATCTGGGTAGTAAGAGCAAAGCCCAACTAAGTGCCTATTTGATATGTGCCATAAGGGGGATTTGGAATATGAGTTGGGAATAAAAATTCACAAAACTCATCAAACCCATGTTTGACAACTAATTTATAGCTTAGGTTACCAAACTCAGCTCACTTTAGACCCGCAATTTTAACTCATATTCATGAGTTTCAAGAAATCCGATGGGGATGGGTTTCATATGAGGGTTAAAGGGTTGAACATAAAAAATAACATTTATATCCTTATATAACTCAAATAATCAAATAATTAAATATTCAAATACTTAAATATTAATCAAATATTAAAATAATCAAATTTAATCAAATAATCAAATATTTATACTCCAAATAATCAATTATTTATACCTCAAATAATCAAATATTAAAATCATAAAGACACAAGAAAATATACATATATAAATATGAATTTGAATTAGATTGGTTAAGGGACATAATAGTCATTTATATATAAATATATTATCATAATAGTGATGTATCCGTGTGCATACCAAATATGGGTATGAACGAGATTAAATATTGAACCTCATCTTTATAAATAAGGGTTTGAGTTTAGAAGGATTTAGACAATAATCATTTATATACAAATATATTATCATAATCATGATGCATCCGTGCACATACCAAATATATGTATGAAAGAGATTGAATATTGAACCTCATCTTTATAAATAGGGGTTTGGGTTTAGAAGAATTTGGACAAGTCAATTCAAACCCCTCCCAAAACACCAACCAAATTGGCCTTGATAGGTTTGGATAAATTTCTCTCGAGTCCCCTGACATTTAGCTTAATTATATGGATACCCTTCACATTTTCAAAATTACAAATAACCCAATCATAAGAAGGTATTAACAGTTTAATTCACTAGATAATTTTGCCCCTATTTGACTGGTCAAGGCTAAAAAAATAAAATAAAAACAAGAGTCAATTTTGTAAGTCTTTAGTCTAAATACAAACCCAATCCATGCCCAAACCAAACCCTATTTTTTTCTCAAACGGAGACCAGATTCCCCACCCTCTTATCCAACGCAGAAACACCCCTCGCCCACCCCGCAGCAGCCTCGATCATCCCGCAACGGCGTAGCCCCCCTCTCCACCCACTCCCTCCACAGGTGCAGCCAACCTCTCCCCTCACTAGGGGTGCAACTTGGGTTAGGCAACCCAATTTCAACTTGAGTCTAATCCGAAAAAATTAAGGCTCGGTCAAGAATTTTTAATACTTAGGTTGGGCTTGAGTCAAAAAATCATAACCCGAATTCAATTTGGGTTGGGCTCGGGTTAAGGTCTCGTGAACCCGAGTTCAATCCGAACCCGACAAATTAAAAAAAAAATTATATATATAAACCATTAGCACTGACTTTTCATTTTTGTTCTATCGTTTTATGTCTCTCTCGTTCTCTTTGCCTATCTCGTTCTCTCAGCCTCTCGTTTAAAACTTGGTCGAAGTTATTGGTTGTTGATTTAGGTAAATATTATGTAATATATGTATTAGGTTTAGAACAACAAGCCTTTTTTGGACTCTACCCGAATTGAAGACGTAAAGTAACTCGAAATCAGCCCGAAATTATCAACCCGAACCCGCCCGAATTAAACTCGGGCAGTGCTCGGGTTGAATTCCCCAACTCGAGGTAGGGTTAAGATTGAAGATTATATACCTAGGGTTGGGCTAGGGTTGATTGTCTAACCTATCAAACCCGCCTGAGTTTAGGGGTGTTCAAATTTTCAACCGGCTGCAATTTTCTACCTTACCCTACCCTAAAAATCGGATAGGAATGTGGAATAAATATATATATATATATAAATAAAAAACCCTAATTGCTAACATTATACTCATCTATTCGAAGGCATCCTTTGAGAGGCGTCTCAGCCACAGTCCCACTGCTCCTCCTCAGCTCCTCCACTGTTAAGGACCTTCAACCTTCACTTCAGGTACTCTCTTTTTCTCTGTGTACGCGATCTGGACCGTCTGGTCTGATCGCATCGCGATTTTAGATCTGGTCTGGACCGTCTGATTTGATCGCGATCTCAGATCTGGTGTAGCCTGGACCATCTGATCTCAGATCTCAGAAAAGGTATCCGTGGTTCACTGCTTTAAGCAAGCTTCTGTGGGGGCTGGGGGTGATGCTTTCGGCTCCGACGTGGTTCTATGGATAACGTTCTGGAACTCCAGGCTCAGATGGTGATGCTTTCGACTCCAAAAGTATCTATCAATGGTAAAGTCCAAAAGTAGTCTAAGGGCATAATAAGAGATGTTCCACAGCTACGTCTTCTCTCCACAAATTGAACATGTAGGGTTTTGAGAGAGTTTACTTTCTCCATAGTGCCTATTTGGTTGCCAGTTCTCCATTTGTAACATTCTATAGAAAAGAATAAATTTTTTGAGGTGCTTTTAAGCCCCAAATCATTTTCCACAGAAAGATGAGCTTCTATAGAAAGATGAGCTTGCAGTTGTGTTATATTGATGGGGACCTGAAGATTGTTTCAACATGTGGTAGCCACTTCTCACTGTGTAGTAGCTTGAATTTGTATGGGACCATCTTAGAATATCCTGTTGCAGTGTTTTCTGCTAACAGAATTAGATTTGCAGCCACACATTTTGATCATATTTTGAATTAGATGATCTAAAAACTATTGTTTGAAAAATCACAAAATAAAATTAAACAAGTGATATACTTTTTTTAATTAAAAAGTGCAGGTATTGAATCTTGTCCCTCAGCCTGGGGTTATCACCACTAGGCATCAGAGAAGTTTTTTTGGGTATTGTGGACTCTATTAGAATTTTACTGAATTTGTTGTTTTGAATTTATTATTTTGTTTTGTTAACAGATCCTTTCCTTATGGATGAAATTACTCCACAATCATTTGCTCAAGCTGATTCTAACAGTAACATCCAAGTTACTGATGACATTCAGATTGAGGGACAAGATACAAAAAAAAGATCTAGAGTTTGGGAGCATTTTGAAAAGATTGAAGCTGTAGATAAAGCTAAATGTAAGCATTGTAGTAAGATTTATAATTATCATGCAAGAAAAACAGGTACTTCATCCTTGCTTTATCATTTAGATCGTTGTAAATCTTATTTGGCGAGTGTGAATAAGAAGAACATATCTCAATTAAAGTTAATTGGTGCATTCAAAAAAGATGAAGATGGTGTTAGTAGTGACCTTAGTGTTGCTAAATTCAATGAAAAAAAAATTAGGAAGGCAATTGCTAAAATGATTATAGTGGATGAATTGCCGTTCCGGTGTGTTGAAAGAGAAGGGTTTAGAGACTTGATGAGGACGGTTGAACCTAGATTTCGTATACCTTCCCGTACCACTGTGATGAGGGATTATTTGCAATTATATATGATGGAGAAAGAAAAATTGAAGCATATGTTTGTCTCATCTAGTCAAAGGGTTTGTCTTACTACTGATACATGGACGTCTATTCAAAATCTAACTTATATGTCCTTAACTGCACATTTCATTGATAAAGATTGGAAGTTACACAAACGAATAATCTATTTTTTGAAAGTTCCTAATCATAAGGGTGTGACAATTAGAAGGGAAATTGAAGCATGCATGCTTGGGTGGGGGTAGATAGCATATTTACTGTTACAGTGGATAATGCTACTTCTAATGATGGTGCTCTTGATTATTTAAAGAGGCGAACTAAGGATGGGAAGAACACTATCTTAGAAAATGAATTTATGCATGTTAGGTGTTGTGCACATATTTTAAATCTAATTGTCATGGAGGATTTGAAGGAAGTGAACACATCAATTTTGAAGGTACGAAATGCTGTTAAATATATGAAGTTTTCTCCTTCAAGGCTTGACAAGTTTAAATCATGTGTTGAGAGACAAAAAATTGGTGAAAAAGGTCTTTTTTGTCTTGATGTTCCAATGAGATGGAACTCTACATATTTGATGCTCAAAATTGCTGAACAGTACCAAGGTGCATTTGATTTGTTGCAAGAAGATGATGGGCAATTCGTAAGTCAATTAAGTGAGGGGATTGGTTTAGGGCCACCTACATTTGATGCTTGAGACATTGTTCGTGTGTTTATGAAATTTTTGAAACTTTTCTATGAAGTCACTTTGCGCATTTATGGATCATTGTATACCACATCTAACTTATTTTTTCAAGAACTTTCTATTGTGTATGATCATTTGCAAGGTTATTGTGAAGATGATGACTATCTTTTGAGTACCATGGCTATGAGAATGAAAAGCAAGTATGATAAGTATTGGGGTCATTTAGATAATAT